ACTTTTGGAATTCCTAGTGTTGCTATGTATCCATTTCTATGCCAATACTACATCAACTAGAGTCTGATTGTTTCTCAGAGTATTCTGTGTGCCAGCAGGGGAAGTCCTACCTCACTCTCTTTTATTATATATTTTTTGACTAGTCTCAAGAAAATTCACTTGTAAGAACTAGAATATCATTTTATCAATTAAAATGCTCTGTCCTCTGCTATTTTCTGTCATGTCAGAACTCTGGATCACTGTTTGCCACCATCAAGGCCTTCACCAAATGTGTTCCTTAGACTTTGGACTTCCCAGCCTCCAAAACTAGTTTTCTCAGTGTCAGCTTCAAGTTGGGACACAGCCCTTCTCCATGACAGTCTCCAAATTTTCGGAGTAAACAATTATGTCATCTGCCAACAAGGACAGTTTTAGAGTGCATGCCGATCAGAGAGGTGCCCAGCTGGAGAATCCCAAGATCTATGGAGACCATGCCCCCTGTGGTGCCAGCATATGACTCAACAGGGATGTTTGATATCCTCTTTTTAAAAATGTGAGGTTTTGAGCTGCCCTGAGTACTTATTGTCAAGATGGTGGAAAAGACGGTACCTAGCATCACTCCCACAAATCAACTGATTTACAACTATAAAATCAGTGCACATGGAACCAGGAGACATCTAGCAGGGGAGGCAGAAGCTCCATGGAGACCACATGTCCTGTGGGGCCGCCATAACGCGATCCAGCAGATAGGCTTCACTGCCACCACCAGGCTCCATTCCCCACCTGGCCCATTGTGCATGGAGCTGGAAGACGTCCAGGAGGGGAGGTGGAGGCTCTGTAGAAAGGACACACCCTGTGGGGCTGCCACTGCTTGATCCAGCAGGTAGGCTTCACCGCTGGCACCCGGCTCCTTTCCCAGCCTGGCCCAGTTCACACAGAGCAGGATGACATCCAACGGGGGATGCAGAAGCTCCATAGAGACCACACCACCGCCACATGATCTAGCAGCCCAGCCCAGTGCATACGGAGCAGGGAGACATCCAGCAGAGGAAGGGGAAGCTCCGCAGTGACCAAACACTCTGCGGTGCCTCCGTACAACCCAGCAGCCCAGCCCAGTGTACACGGAACAGGGAAATGTCCAGCAGGGGAGGTGAAAGCTTGGGAGAGACCACACACCATGTGGTACCACCCCATAACCCAGCAGCCTGGCCGAGTCCAAGCTGACCAGAGAGGTGGTTCCCTGGGGAGGCCCAAGACCTGAGGCAAACACACATGCAAGGCACTAGTGGCCAACTGAGCAGTCACAGAAGTAGCCATACCAAATTGGGAACCCCAGCAACATCTTAGTCAGACAATAGTGTCAAACCTGTGGACTGTGAATCCCCCTGCCACAATGATTAGACCTCAAAGAAAAGATACCAGAAATACGAAAAATCAAGAAAGTACACCTCCACAGGGTAATAACTCTCAAGCTCTAGATCCTATAGAATAAGAAGCCCTTGAAATGTCTGACAAGGAATTTCGAGTGATAATTCTAAGGAAACTGATTGAGAAATAAGAAAACTCAGCTAGACAACATGATGAAATAAAGAAAAGTATACAGGACCTGAAAGAAGAAATGTACAAGGAAATCAATGCCCTGAAAAAAAGTGGAGCAGAACTTGCTGAACTGAAGAATTTATTCAGCAAAATAAAAAACACAACAGAGAGTTTAACCAGCAGGCTTGCCCCAGTAAGGAGATCCTTCCAAAATGAAGGGCAAAGAGTATATTTCTCGGACAAACAAAACTGTGGGAGTTCACCACCACACAACCACCCTTACAAGAAATTCTCAAGGGTTTACTGGGTTTGGTTCCTGAAAAATAACTACCACTGCCATAAAAACCCAAGAAAAATCAAAACCCCCCTACTATATTAAAAATGACATTCATGAAGAGAAAACAAACAAACAAAAAGTCTATCTACAACCCAAGGAACCAGCAAATACAAAAAACAAACACTAAATCAAGAAGCCAGGAACAAAAGACACCAAAGACCACCAAAGAATAATCAATAAAATGCTAGGAATAAATCAACACTTTTCAATAATAACTCTTAATGGAAAAGGCTTAAATTCCCCAATCAAAAGACACAGAGTGGCTGACTGGATTAAAAAGGAGGTCCCAACTATATGCTGTCTTCAGGAGACCCACCTGACCCATAAAGAGTCACGTAGACTAAGAGTGAAAGGATGGGAAAAGATTTACCATGCAAACAGAAAAGAAAAACGAGCTGGAGTAGCTATTCTTCTATCTGATTAAATAGACTTTAAACTAAAAACCATAAAAAGAGACAATGAGGGACACTACGTAATGATAAAAGGATTGATCCATCAAGAAGACATAACAATTATAAATATATATGCACCCAATGTGGGAGCAGCCAGATTTATAAAACAAACTCTATTAGACCTAAAGAAGGAAATAGATACTAATACCATAATAGCAGGGCATCTGATCACCCCACAAATATTGGACTGATCATCTAGGCAAAGAATCAGCAAAGAAACAAAAGATCTAAGCAATACTCTAGACCAATTGGACTTGGAAGATACCTACAGAACATTCCATTCAACAACCTCAGAACATTCATTCTTCTCATCAGCACATGGATCATTCTCCAGGATAGATCACATATTAGGTCACAAATCAAGTCTCAACAAATTCAAAAAAATTGGAGTTATCCCATATATTTTCTCAGACCACAATGGATTAAAATTAGAAATCAATAACAAATGAAATTCTGAAAACTATACAAACACATGGAAATTAAACAGCATTCTACTTAATGACAGATAGATCTAAGAAGAAGTCAAGCAGGAAATTAAAAAATTTATTGAAACTAATGAAAATAATGATATGTCATACCAAAACCTGTGGGATATTGCAAAAGCAGTACTAAGGGGGAAATTTATCACATTAAATGCTCACTTAAGAAGAATGGAAAGATGGCAAGTGAACAATCTAATAATGCGCCTTAAAGAACTAGAAAAACAAGAACAATCCAAACCTAAAGTTAGCAGACAGAAAGAAATCATTAAGATCAGAGCAGAACTTAATGAAAGTGAAAACCAAAAAATAAAACAAAAGATCAATGATTCAAAAAGTTGGTTTTTAGAAAAGATAAATAAAATTGAGAAACCATTAGCATGGCTAACAAAAAGCAGAAGAGAGAAAATTCAAATAACAAAAATTAGAAATGAAAAAGGTGATATTACAACTGATTCATCTGAAATACTAGGAATCATTTGATACTACTATAAACAACTATACGCCAAAAAATTGGAAAATCTAGAGGAAATGGATAAATTTCTGGACACATACAAGCTCCCAAAACTGAGCCATGAAAAC